ACTTGCTAATCATTTTTTATTGGTAAACAAAGTCAGGGATAAGATGCTGAGAAATTTAAATTAACTATTCAAAGTTTTTATTCGTTGGTACAAAACCAACTTATCCTGAATAATGGTACAAAACCAACTTTATTCTGTCATATTCGTGCAAAACCATATATTATAGCCACTAGGTAGTATTTACTGTCCGGACACGCCTACTATAATCAAAATTTTGAACATTAGCGCTTACTATTTTCGAATTGAAAATTAACGCTTATTTTCTGCAAATACACCATACATGCGATACATCATTGGAAAGCTAAAAATATGCTCTTTTCTTTAACATCATAATCAAGTATAGTTTGTATTTAAAAAAACACAACTTTGTGTTATATCTCAAAAATCATCAAGTATATTTAAAACTTTTCAACGGCAGTATATTCTACTTAAAAAAGTGTCTTAAGAACGTATCAACCCCATTTCTCTAATTTCAAAAATAAACGAAATATGAGCGTTTTTTAAAATCACGAAAATTTGACTTTTTGGCTATAACTTAAAAACAAAAGAAGATAGAAGTTTGGTGTTTGCGGGATTGGCTTAGTCTCGAAAAAAGAGACCGGGACATGGCACCTACTTTTTTCGTATCTCTTATAGTTTCTGAGATAGCCTATAATAACACCCAAATTTGCCCACCCTGTACATCAAACATTTTTTTCAGGTGAATATATTTTGTGTTTTGACAGTTTCTAATTGTCAATTCAAAGTTTCTATTTTCAAGTGTTCCGGTGTTACCAACTGCTACATACCTATTTTCCTACATTGCGAAAATTTACTTTATTTTTGTTAAAAAAAAGTATAAAAACGCGAATTACAAAAAATAGCATAAAAAACACGTTTCATAAGACTTAAAGCACTCATTCATTAAAAAACTCGTGGCTTTGCCACTGGTTTTTCAACTTGAATTCGTGTATTTCAAGCGTGTCTTACGAAACTTGTTTTTTAATATACTATTATGGAACTAGTTCATGTTGGTGTCATTGGGTCATTAATTTTTCTAGTTGTCAATGTGACAATGTTTGTCTATGGATGTTTAAATACGTTCTTAGCATCGAATGCAAGGTCCACAATGATGAGGACATTGAACTCTGAGCAATTTCTCTTATTTTGGGAGGTGTACATGAAACATGTTTCTCAGGTGAATACATTTTGTGTTTTGACAGTTTCTAATTGTCAATTCAAATTTCTATTTTCAAGTGTTACGGTGTTACCAACTGCTACATACCTATTTCCCTACATTGTCAAAATTTATTTTATTTTTGTTAATAAAAAAGGATAAAAACGCGAATTACAAAAAATAGCATAAAAAACACGTTTCATAAGACTTAAAGCACTCATTCATTAAAAAACTCGTGGCTTCGCCACTCGTTCTTCAAATTGAATTCGTGCATTTCAAACGTGTCTTACGAAAGTTGTTTTTTAATATACTATAACAGGTTCCCATTTAAAAATATTACGCGGGCAGTAACTCAAAAACAATTGAACAAAAACAAAATTGAAGTATTCTCAAATGTAGATACAAATTACACAACAAATTTTTGTATTGAACATAATTTCTTAAAATGAATATTAACGACAATAAATCGCCGTCTCTATACTTTTAACCAAACCCACAGAGTGTCATCTGTGCACCAAACCCATACTATCTTCTATATCGCTGACTAAGGCAGCAAAAGAGTGTAAACACTAGAGTGCAGATATATATATATCTGTCTCTGTCGTGCCCCCGTCTACTCAAGAGACATGCGTGAACACGTGGTGAGTACGCTTTTATCTTATTGGACGGTAAATTAAAAATTAATAGCAGCTGATGACCTTGATGTTTATAAAACACCAAATAAATGTTTGACATAAACATAACCTAAAATCTAAATATTTAGTTATGTATATTATAGGTTTCATGTGTATAATAACATAATTATTAACATATTTTAGGACTAAGCAATTTAAAATGTAATTATTATTTGTTAAGAAAGTGAAGAAAATTTGTTAAAAGTAAAATAAAAAAGAAAAAGAGTAGGGGAGATATTTTTGGGACCTAAAAATTGGTTGAGCAGGTAGAAGGAAAGATCTCAGTGTAATAAAAAAGAATTCAAAATTTAATTAATAATTACTTCGATATGATGAAAATTTTATGATAGAATATTATGTAGATTAAATAGTAAGTACCCTAAGTACATATTTTATATCTTTAATTAATGTAACAACTTCATTAAAGGGCGTATGCTCACAAATTATGTTAAAAATTAATAACTATATTTTGGTACACATTTTTAATAATTACTATGTATATATGTATTAATTTAATTTTAAAGAATATAATGTTTAATGAACAACCTACATAAAGTTGATATTTAAAGCAATATTCAACATCAATTTCACACAAAAGTACATATATTCTAATTTATTTGATGCATCTATGATAATTTATAATTAAAGTCAATTATCTACAATAATTGCATTTCAAAGCTGCATAAAATACGCGCGAAACACTTCAAACTCTTTAAAATTTACGATTCGCGCAAGCACCTTCACGACATGGGGGCACGACAAAGACAAAACATATATCATTCCGTCTGCTTTTGATGGAAACGCTCGCCACTCATTGCTTAGATAGGGAGTCAGCGATATAGGAGATAGTATATATATGGGAGTCAGCGATATAGGAGATAGTATATATATGGGAGTCAGCGATATAGGAGATAGTATATATATGACCAAACCTGTATAGTTCTATTCAGGACTGTCGTGACGTCACGGTACACAACCTTCATAAATTTGAGGTTATACAACTGTCAAAAACACGTGCGGTTTAATATCATTCAAGAAATTTGTTTTGTATTTAAAAATATGGGTAATAATAAAAAAGGTGTAGAAGCAAATAATATGGATTCAAGTAGCGATGAAGATTTCGATTCTGCTGATTCAGATTCAAGCGATTCCGATAATGAAATAACTCAAGATGATTCTCAAATGGATGTTATTCCAGAAGATGAAGATAATGATGAACAAATTGAAACGGTAGAAGAAGAAGAAGAAGATGAAGTAATAAAAGCTATAAAAGCGGCGAATACAAAACAACGAGATCATCCTCCAATCATTCAATGTGAGGACTATATTGTTGATATTTCGTTTCATCCTCAAGAAGATTTAATAGGAGTTGGAAGTATAACAGGGGATGTTTTTATTTATAAATACACTAATGAAGAAAATAGTTTATTACATACGCTTGAATTGCATATGAAAGCTTGTCGAGATATTGAGTTTAGTGACGATGGGAAATTATTATTTTCAACATCAAAAGATAAATCAATTATGTTAAGCGATGTCGAAACTTGTAAATTAATAAAATTTTTTGATGATGCTCATGATAATCCTATATACACTTTATCAGTTTTGAATGAGAATTTATTTGCAACTGGCGATGATGATGGCCGGATTAAATTATGGGATTTAAGAGAAAAAAATACAAATTGTGTTTTTACAATAAAGAAAAATGAGGATTATATTAGTGATATTTGTACGCATGAAGAAGAAAAATATTTGTTGTGTTCAAGTGGAGATGGATCACTCACAACTGTTGATTTAAAAAATAGGTAAACATTAACATAAGATTATGTTAATTAATTAATTATATAATTAAATGTTTTTAGGAAATTTTTTATGCAATCTGAAGAATATGAAGAAGAACTAACATGTTTAGGTTTATTTAGAACTGAAACGAAATTATTAGCTGGTTCTAATAAGGGTAAAATGTTTTTGTATAATTGGAACGAATTTGGATTGCACAGTGATGAATTTGCTGGTCCAAAAACAGCCATAAACGATCTTGTTCCAATTACAGAAAATATTGTGGTAACTGCTTGTGAAGATGGAAATTTGAGAGCAGCACATTTATTCCCACATCGGCATTTAGGAATCGTTGGCCAACATAATTTGTCAATTGAAAATGTTGATATTTCAAATAATGGATCATTAATAGCTTCAAGTAGCCATAATAATGATATACGATTTTGGAACATTCAATATTTTGAAGACTTTGAGAAAGTTGATAAGAAACATAATAAGCATAATAAAAAGAAAGATATGAAAAATAATTTACCATCTTCTCAAAGAAGGAATAATGCGGATTTTTTTAGTGATTTATGTTAATAATGTGTGGGGCATGATTGATAGTCGTACCCAAATTGTTTTATTAATAATTTTAGTTGAATTAAATTACAATTTTTATTAATTACACAATAACTTCTTATTAACTATCTTCTAAACACCATAGTATTAAAGTGAGTTTTAAAGTGTGTAGCTGTCAAGGTTTATAGAACACGAACATAAGGTTACCTCATTCCCTATGCCTCTGTAGTATCGATTATTACCCCGCAAATTGACGTCACTGGTTCGATACAGTCAGAATAAAAGATAGCCTATACGTGCCTATACACATACCTATAAAATTCCACTTAAAAATAGAAGAAAATCCAACTTGTAGTAGAAGTTGCCTACTCAGAATAAAAGATTAAGTGAATTTATGTGATTGAACACGAAATTGTTTAACATATAAAATATTTAATTACATTAAACATTACATCTAAATATTTTAAAATATATCTGTCCTTTTTTTATAACAGAACCAAAAATTGCCTTGCTAATTAAATGGTGAGTTTTGATTTTTGTTCGTCCTATTGCAGACTTAATTCCAGACGTGGTAGCGCCGAGCCTCCACATATCAAACGAGTAGGTAGTATAAACAAAGTTTTTTTGCAACTATTCGAGTTTGGATAAACGATTTCACGTATACAAATTCGTTCTTTATTATTTCGTCGTTGAGAATTCTTTGGTTAAAATATAAATACGAAAATTAAGAAATATTAATTAGAATCAATTAACTAAATAAAAACGAAGTATGTATTTCTGATTTTATTAACGAGTGTTTCTAAATTGATGTGAAAGATTCAAGGGATGATTTTTCAGCGAAAATTACGGGGTGTTTTTCATATAACTTTTTGTTCAAAACCCCTTCTCCTCCAAGTTATAGCCTTCTAAAATTAAGGGAAAAATCTGCAACTTTCTTATCTTTTGACATTTTACAACTAACAAATTGTTAATTTGACATAACTTAATTTCTTTGACTAATAGTAACCAATCTCTGAATTAATTCACTTGAATCTGTATATTATTTTATTTTTTTGTGATCAAACTAACAATTTTAGGAGAAAATGTCAAGATACAAAAAAGGTGCGTATTGAATCCCACTATTTAAATCAAGAAGAATGTAGACGTATTAAAAAGTTCTAATGCAAAGTATTATGGGGTTGATTTTTTCAGCCTCTTGTAATAACATTTTCGGGTTATAAAAATCGTCAAAAAGTGTCATTTTATTAACAACAGTTACCTGCCAAATTTCAATCTTCTAAATTCCTCCATAGTGGATTTATTAAATAAAAACAATTTTTTCCCCTAACTTTAGAGTACTGTAACTCGGTGGGGAAGAGGTTTTGAAAAATCACTCCTTGAAATCTGTCGGATTAATTTAGAAACAGCCTGTATATTAATGAACTTTTTTAAGGTGACGTTATTGTGTTGACTGAACATAATGAAAATCATGAATACATAATAACATAAAACATGACAAATCCTGCTAACTACTTATAATTGCAAATTACAAATTACTTATGTTGTAAAATAGTAACTTTATTGCTTATTTTAATTATGCATGGAAAGAGACGATTGCTGAAAAAACTAAAATGACTTTTGTTTATGGAGCAGTCAAAGATATTAATGTTGCCCAAAATTTATTGGAACAAAGATTTCTAGACAGACACATCCTTTCTTGTGTAAGAACTTCAATAGAGAAGAAGGGGCTACAAGAAATTCAATGTTTAAGCTGTTGTTTGTAATAATCCATATATTTCTTCTCGCGTAATTTTTTATGACTCTGCTGTATCCCAACGCAGTGTACTTAGATTTTTACATTGCCATAAATTTCACCAGTACGCTGTTTGCTTTGTTAAAGAACTTTTTTTTGAGGATCAATTGAGAATAGTATAATGTTCCACTTTTTTTGGTAATATGAGTTTTTTTAAACTTATAAAACGAAAACACCACAAAATTTAACTCTCTTTCGTCATTCAGCGGTATAACATATAACATCGTGGAAAATTAGTCGTCGACATTTTAAAAATTTGAGTTTTGAGAAGTTTAATCGAGTTTATTAATCCATAATTTTTGGGAGAATCACGCATGTTATAATATTAAATCATCATTGATGGTTTGTGATTTTGGTAACAGAAGTTTATTCTGGATTTAGTTGTACTGCAAAGAAAAAAATTTGTTTGATAGCCTCAGAACATCCACGCACGGAAAAAAAAGTAGTTTTAAAACAAGTACAAAAATAGTCTTAGAACAATTGAGTTCGATGAAGATAAAAATCTTTTAGTTTAAATGGATATTTATCTTTAACTGAGTATATTTTATTCTTAACGCATTTACTTTGCGTTGAGAATAGTGTTCTTGGTTCAAGAATACTAAATCTGAGTCAAACCTACGCGTATTCTTAGTTACACAAAGTTATCAAATATATTTTATTCTTGACGCGTTTATTTTGAGTTGAGAATAGTTTTCTTGATTCAAGAAGACTAAATTTGAGTCAAAACTATGCGTATTCTCGGTTATAGAAAATTAACTAAACATATTTTGAAATTTTTGAACATTACTGAAATACTAACGTCATATTCTATAAATGAAACACAATCTGAAGAATTGGCTGTTTTGATAACAGAGCATCACAAGCTATACATAACTTTATTTAAATGTTCTTTGAAGCCGAAGCATCATTTTTTGCTCCATTATAAACGTACAATAAATACAGGGTCATCCACGACGACCGTCCATTAGAACTTTACAAGGTTCTGGCCAATACAAAAATTTGAAAATTCAGATTTAAGTATTATTAATTGCGTTCTATCTTCGACTAAAATATTTTCAGATTTCTAGAACTTCCGGTTATACCGGAAGTCGCCACCTACTTTATTTTTTTAAATGGAACACCCTATATATTTTTACATATTTGGATTTGTCTGTTTTCAAGGTTTATGAATAACTTTACTTTTTGCCATTTGATTCGGCCGTTCTCGAGTTATTCGAATTTTTCTAGAAAAATCTGCTCCAGCAGACATTTGTTAAAAAAATCAGAGAACACTCGATTTTTGGGATATCAATTTAGGATTCAAAACATGCGTAAGCAACATGATGGAGTATGTTTTGGTGCCGAGTACGGCTGCCTAGATCGTTTGGTCACTTTACTACGGCACGTTAACTTTTCGAAATTTGGAAATACCATAACTTAATTTTTTTAAATGGCACCCCCCATATTTTATTACTTAGTCGTCTTCGGTGTCTCATTTTACATCTTTTATATCCCATATGTCCTATAACTAACATTTATAGTTTGGGAAATAATTAGGGTTTTTTGAAAAATGTACACATATCATATCGATATTTAACCTAGTGTGCCATGAACATAACCATATGAACTGCCCTTTTGAAAATTTCAAGACTTCTGTGTTTGATGCCAGCTTTTTACTAAAATATTTAATGAACCTAACTCTAGTTTTGGTAAACACCTATCTCTACACAACCACACTTTTGATATTAAAGAAAATGTAACATTATTACATAAACAAAATAAAGGCCACAAACTTGAGCTTTTAGAGAGCTATGAAATAGACAAATTCATAAAAACCAATACAAGACTTGAGTGCCTTAATGACCAGGTCCTCCCCTTAAAACCACCCTTATACAAATGCCTCAATAACCCATTTCCCCAAAATACCGAGGATCAGTGTACTTAGCCGCACACACTGTTCGCAGATTTTGGGGTCCCCGCGGCAACACCCAACTCCTATCTACACCCTATCCTTATATTCCGTATCCTATATTTTTCTATTAATTTATAATCCAAATTTTATTATCCCCTTCCCTTACCTTACTTTTCAACGTCTGGATATATTAATTATATACATTTTAAAAAAACAAATTTTAGTGTTGTTGCCTCGCAGACATTTATACTCGCAGATGGGATTTGTTTCATTCTGAACATCCTCTATGTAATTTTATTTTATTTTCAACACATGCGCATTTATACATTTTATTTCTGGTTTCGCGAACTCATAAAAAGTGGTTACCTCTTGCAATTTTTCGACCATTTTATTTTTGTAACTTTCAAGTAACGTCGTTTTTAATTTTAATACCTAAACTTTACATTTACATTTTAACATGTTAGTTCTATAGTTTTTAAAATTCAATATTTACAATAATTGTTTTGATGTGCTGACCTTATTTACGATTTATATTTTATGCGAAGTTTTTTGAACGCCGTTTTCTTATTTTACGACAAGTAAGTTTATTTCATTTATATTTAGTAACAACTTTTATTATCTATCTTGTTGTCAATTTGTAGCGCTTCTGAAGATGACTAATTAGTCGAAACATGTAAAGCGGATTTACTTATAATAAACCAGTATAAAAGTACAATTAGTGATTTATAAAAATCAAAATTCAATCAAATATCATTCACATCTGCTGGTAAAATGGATTTTGCTATTAACATTGATCAAATCTATCAAATAAGCCTAACAAAAGGGTACATTGCCATTTAAAAAACTTCAAATGTTATTCGTTGCTCATTTGTTTTCTGAAATAAAAACAGTTGAATGCTATCTTATTATGGCAAATAAAATATTAAACAACTTTTGTATGAAATGTTTTTTTATAAAGTTGATAGTTTCCAAGATATACAGAATGTTTCATAATATATGCGCAGGACTTCAGGATGTGATAGCTTGTCCAAAAATTTGAAAAAAGTATACACCATTTTCGAGATACAGGGTGTTGAAATTTAATAAAAAAATCCTTTTTTGCGAATATCACCGGAACCGTTTATCGTACAGAAAACAGCGTTTGTAAGCAAAATCTACTCATAATAAGCTAAGTTTTAGAACAAGTAACAAAAGCAAACGTTAACTTCATAATTGCATAATTAAGAAAAACAATTACAAATCATACACAGTTATTGAGAGTTATGAATTATGTTGCAAGATACAACAATGCGCTCTCTTAATTGGTCAACATTTTCAACTGGACTAGCGTAGACTAGGGTTTACAGATGGCCCCAAAAGAAAAAATCTAAACAATTAAGTTCGTGAGATCGCAGTGGCCAAGGGTACGGACCTCCTCGACCGATGCAACGGTCTGGGTATTCGTCGTCCAAGTATTGGCAAGCAACCAAACTAAAGTGGGCCGGAGCTCCATCATGCATAAGTACATGTTTTGTCTTATTTGAAGCGGTACATCTTGCAGCAGTTCCGGCAGTACTTCTTCTAGAAATTGTCGATAATCTGCACAGTTTAATCTGTTTGGTAAATTATCACCGACGATGGTAGCCTAATCATTTACGGAAAATTGTAGCTGATGATAGCCTTCTGCAATTTCATATGGATTTTCTTCTGCCCATATGTGGTTATTGTGAAAATAGAAAATATCATCCTTAGACAAAGATGCTTCACCGGTAAACAGAATTTCGGCTCCAAACTCAGGATTTTGAGCTATATTGTCTTGCGATCTTGGCTGTTGCAGAAAATGAAGTAGTTGCAGCAAATAAATTACAATTGGCTTTAAATTCAATAGAAAACTGGACCAAACGATGGCTAATAAAACTAAATACAAATAAATCGACATACATAAACTTTACTTATAAGAAACTAAACTATGTCCCAGTACACATAAATGGCAATGCAGTCCCTTACGCCGACACCGCAAAATATCTTGGTATGACGCTGGATGTCAAACTGAAATGGAAAGCTCACGTTAAAAAAAAGCGTGAGTAACTTGATATCAAATTTAGACACCTATATTGGCTTATTGGCAGAAAATCAACGCTATCACAAGTTGCTAATATACAAGCAAGTATTAAAACCAAAATGGACATTGCAAAACCTGCAAGACAAATGCAAGTCTGATTCAAAGATTCCAGAACAAAGTACTAAGGTGCATAGTGCATAGGTGCAAAGTGCATAGAAAGTAGCATCGGTGTCATCGAAAATTGCATCATTCGCATCTAAACATGAGAAGAGAATGCACGATCATCCCAACGTCAACGCGATCATCCCAACGAAGAGGCCATCCAGCTTCTCGACAACGAGGATGTCCTACGTCGCCTTCAGAGGATGAAGCCGTTCGATTTAGTGACTGTAGACTGGACCACTGGGTAAAGCTGCAAAACATTATCTAGTTTAATTTGGTGTTAAAAGTAAGTAACTAATTAGTATGTATTTACTAGGTGTTATACAATTGTGCTATGCATAATATACAATGTGTCCGCGGATAGGTGAAACGACTCTTATAAAATGTAAAATTTTTTCGATATTAATTGTCATCTTTTGGCGTTCAGCCCTGCTTGGTTAAAGACTAACTTTGAACATATTTTCAAGTTTTAAAAAATAAGTGAGTGTTGACACTGAAGCGATAACTTCTTGTGTGTTAGGTAAAGTATGTGTATATTATTTAGAATGAAAAGTTATGGCCATATGCAAATTTTCAGAATCATTGGCCTACTTCGATAAAACCCATTGTTTTATTTTCATCAATAGGACTTTATTACCATTTTTTGTTTTGAGATTCAGATTGTTCGGGAGAAATAAACAAACCGTTTTTAAAATGTTCCCAAAAAATTAAGTGTGTATTCGCCCACAAAAGAAAACAGTTAATCATAGTTAACTCAGTTTTAAATCAGTTTCATCATTTTTTTTTCTTAGTACTTCTTTTAATTCCAGTATTTGGAAATTTTTCACTAAATAAAGCAATAACCATATTTATCGGTTTTCCCCGGTTTCATAACACTGAATCACGTAAACTTTTTCCTCTAATGTTAATATTGTATTTAAAAAGCACTAAGTTTACTAAATTACAGTTTGATAGATTAACATTGACAAGAAAGCAATTTTGTTTTTCCATGGCAGTCTTTGTTAGAAATAAAATTGTTTGATATGGAATTTTATCAAAGTAGGCCGACCATTCCGAAAATTGGCATATGGCCATAGTTTTTCATTCTGAACAAAACTTCTTGGTAACACTTTCACGTACTGTAAACAGAAAAGGTACTTTACCTGCCACAAAAAGAGTTTTCATTAAAAGGCAATTAATATCGAAAAAATTTTACCTTTTATAAGAGTCGTTTCACCTATGTGGGGTGAAACGACTCATAAAAGTCACACACTATTAAAAAAAAAAAAGAATTTTGTCTTGCATCCTTGGCAATAAGGCTTATACTCTTTGGATATGGTAGGAATACAAAAGTTGCCTTTTCAAAATTCTCCAAACCGTCGAGTGAGATAGGTTTAATTGTAAGTTGTGAGCAATTTTTCTGGTACTTGTGGTCGGATTTTCGTCAATTTCGTTGAGGAATTTTACTACTTGGGGATTTGAAAGTTCCATAGACCGCCCATTATCAGCAGTATTCCTTTTAAAACTTCCATTTTCCCATAGTCATTGGTGAATGCGTAGAAACAAGTTATGGTGTGGTACTGGGCAAGGGCGTCGCCAGAGAGGGGCAGAGGGGGACCACTGCCCCCCCCCTACAGGTAGATTCGAAAAAAAATTAAAACAATAAATATACATCTTGAGTACTGAACAACTATCGAATGGGATGCCATATTTTGATCTGGAAACCAAGGAAGTTCAAGAAGTATTCCTCGGATTCGTCAAACTTGATGCTTTGGATGCGAAATGTATTGCAAAAGCAATAGATGAGTTTTCGGCAGAAGAAGATGTTGATCCGGACAAATGTGTTGGTTTAGGATTTGACGGTTGTTCGACGATGTCCGGGAAAGATGGTGGTGTGCAAGCAATTCTACGCAGAAAATATAAAAAAGCTTTGTGCTTTCATCAAAGGGAAGTACCATCAAAGATATTATTACATTTTTTCAAGAATCAGTTTTGAGACAGAAATTGATACCAAATATTTCCAAGCTTTGCGAAACAAGGTGGAGCGAGAAACACAAAAATATTAGTGTTTTTAATACTGTTATAATGGAGGCTTTTGAAACCTCGTAACGGGAAGAAAATAAGAATAAATAATGCGACTAGAAAAAATACTTATTAGCTCCATGCAGCAGCTTCTAGAGTTTCGTTTATTCTCAGCTTCATTTTGATAGCCAAATACTCGGCTATGATGGAACCTGTGGTAAACATTCTCCAATCCGTAGCTTTGAATGCAGTTAAGGCATCCCAGCACATTAGCCGCATTTTGGAATTTATAGAAAACCACCGTTATTATTAGGGACGCTACTATCGTTGCAGAAAAACTTGGACTGGGAGAAGACATGAAGTCCTTGCCCCGTATTGTTGAGAGACAACAACATCAGAACAACCACCCAGCAGCAAGCCCCTCAGAATTCTGGCGGAAGTCTTTAATAATACCATACTTAGACTCGATTATTAGGAAATTGTAAGAGTTAGAAAAAAAGCAGCTAACATGTCTAGATCTCTTTTTTTAAATAAATTCCAATGTCGAAAACCTAAAAGCGTTATCGTTAAAAAATCGCGTAAGTACGGGGCCGCGTAAGACGGGGTCGCGTAAGTCGAGGTTTTACTGTATTAGAGAACATAGTATATTCAATCCCAGTAGAGGCAGTAGAAAACTACCCCTACTTTTTTGGAATAATTTAAAAACTACCCTGTCGATTTTGGCGGCATTAAATGCACTTATAGTACATTTAAAAATATTAATTAAGTGTTTTTTCGTATCTAGGGGTGGCTGGGGTTAACTACTCTCACCACACCAAATTCTTTTTTACAAGTACTGCTTGTCGATTTTGGTGCAGTTTAGCATGTGATTTCTTTATACGTTAAGTAGTACTTTTGAAAGAACTTATAAGGGTTAGTAGTATGGTGTAGAAAATATATTTCGCTAATTGAAAAAAAATAAAAACTAATAATAATAATATAATAATAATTGACGAATCGCTACTAAAAAAGCATTCTGCGATGATTTCATTTTCCACGAGTATTTCGCTGACAATCTCCTGTTCGTCCATTTCAAATATTATACACTTTTTTTATAAAAATCTGTTCGTTGCGACCACGGTTTATACACTTTTCTGACCTGCACTAAGTTGACATGACATTGCACTTCCTTACACTTCATTGCACTATGACGTCATACGAGTGCCATGTTGTGCAGGGTAGTGCAGTCCCAACGAACAAAACTATTTTTAATTTTTTAATACAAGTTTACTTTTTGCAGGTACAAACTGTTATTTTGACAGGAGGTAGCTTTTGTTATAAAATTTAAAGCCCACTTGTTAAAAATAAATTATACAATTTTTTACACAAACACTAAAATGTGCGAAATGTTACCTTTACGGTAACAACTTTTAAAAAGACAAGTTAAAAGACAACTTTTATATCATGTTTTTTATTTTGCAATTATGAAGTTAACGTTTGCTTTTGTTACTTGTTTTAACTTTTACATAAATTTTGTTTAATTGTAAAATCAAATTTTATTTCAAAGAATTGACCATGTTTTTCAAGATAAAAGTAAGAGTTGATTTTTCTAGAAACCGTTCAACTTTAGAGCTCGTGACCTATAGTACCTTTTTGTGTAGAAAACATTGACGGTTCAAATGGGCGTCTCAAAACCGTACTTTTTCCAGTGGCGTAGAAGTTGGGAAGAAAAACAACCACTACCCCTTCAAAATCTTCATCAATTATGACTTTAAAAAAGTTTTTTCTCGCACAAAACTTAGCTTATTATGAGTAGAAAATGCTTACAAACGCTGTTTATTGTACGATAAACTGATCCAGAGAAATTCGCAAGAAACGATTTTTTTTATTAAATTTCAACACCCTATATCTCGAAAATGGTGTACCTATTTTAGAGGATAAGTTGATGGAAACTTTTTTCAAATTTTTGGACAAGCTATCACATCCTGAAGTCCTGCGCCTATATTATGAAACACCTATATACTATATATTCCATACATAATGGGCACCTGTATAAAAAAAGGCAATGATAGTCAATAACAAGTCATTCATAAATTAATAATTATAATTTAATTCCCACAATATGTATCAATAAATAAATAAACAATTTTTTTGGTGATTATATTTATTTAAATAAATATACAGCTTTGTAAAAGATTACATATATCATACACGACTTGCAATTGGATATGTATTGCACATAAATAACATCATGCAGAGTCGATTAACTAAATAATTATTTACCTAAATATATAAACAAATATGTAAATAATTAACACCATCATTAATTAAAAATAAAAACACGAAAATTGGTTACCGAATAAATTCTGTTCAGCCTTTTTCAACCATCAAATTTATTACCACAATTTTTAAACAAAAGGAATTTTTTTGATAATCAATCTCCCTTGAGAATGTGTGAAATTTTTTTTGAGCTTTAACCGTCGAATGTAAAGCCAGATTTTGAACAAAGTTGTTCCAACCCCCAATAATATTACAAGAACAATGTGAAAACGGGTTTACAATCATGCAATTTTACGTTTGTCTCTTTTTATTCGAGGGGAACACCATATAATAACAAATATCATTTCGAACTATAGTTAAATACGGAAAAATTTCCGTCCCTTATCTCTTTTTTTTCGTCATCTTTCTATACAATATACGTTTATATGTAATAGTAAAATAAAAATAGCAAATCTATATTGTATTTCTATAGCGTGACATTTTCAACGACGTAGAAAACTAGTGATTCTTCTGGGACTCTTCATATGCCAGCACATCGTCGAAATTGACTAAATCAAATTCCGTTATACCTTTACCAGAAAATTGGGCGAATTTTGCTTGAGTGTGTAGTTCTGCTGAACGTTTTACCACTGCAACAAATAAATGTATTAGTTTAAAGTTTCAATTAGTTTAACAAAACTCACCTCCACCAACATATTTCTCCAACTTATAAATCGGTAAATTATAACACTCCTTAGCAATGTAATCCCCAGCATCTCTAGGATCTTCAAGCGGGGGAACAATAACTTTCATTGTATTACGAATAATCTCTGTATCAACTTTATAATAACCATCCCACATTTTATGAATTAAATCAAAAAGTGACTTCGGAGGAAGAACACTATCCCGATCTAAAGGCATAACAAAACATCTTTGTCCAGTTGTGTCAATAATTCCCGTTTTATTATTATTAAAATCATGCACGAATCGTCCATTACGACCATCTTCAAAGTCGGGAACGGTGATTTTTTCGTATTCTCCGCGTAAAACATCTAATTCCAGTTCTTCTGTGAGGCTGTTGTATGGCATGCGGAGGTCGTCGGAGTTTAACATTGCGGTGTGCGGTTCAAGCGGGATTTTACACCATTTTTTGAAGACCTCGATACGTTGTTTGTAGAGGTAGAACCCGCAGATGATGCCCAAACTTACCACCATCAATCCAGTTAGAAACACGCATAAAACAGCTGAGCTTGAAACTTTTTGAGCTCGAGCTCTTAAAAAGACGAATTGGGGGTCGTGAGAACCAGATTCTAAATCATCTTGATTTGAAGTTGGTGGTGGCTATTATAAAGAAATAAATAAAAGAATTACATTTAAAAAATTGAAAAGTGTAATAAATATATTTCGTATATTCGAGAAACTTAAAATAATAAATGTAAATAAAAGTATAAATCATGTATTATGTAAGTAATTATAGAGTGGAAATATTCAAGGTGATATTAAAAACACATAAAAAATTCTACAATAATCTACATAACACCAACATATTAGCCACATATTTGATAAAAAACGAGAAAAATGTGGTGAAACTTTTTATGGAATCGGTAGAGAAAAAAAACACGTAAACATGATAATATGCGCATTTTCGAACGTTGTGTATAAATTGGAATTACATATCAATAATTCGATAAAATTTTTAAAAATTCCAATAAATCCACGATAAAATTAAATTCTAATGGTGAAATTAATAACGGACAAGTAAAAGATAAGATATTTATGCTATATGTGGTATTTATGCTACATTGAAAATAATATAACTTTCACTTTTTTAACTTTCAGTTTTATTTTTCTTGTTAAAATCCCAATCGGTTTCAAATTAATTAAAATTCGCCATAACATGAATCGAAGCAAGGTCAAGACATGTTTGGATTTTAAGACACTTTACAGGAAATTGCTTAATAAGTCTAAAAGTACCGTTAAAAACACTTTAAACTGTAACTCACCTAACATCATTGGAAATTACTATACACTGTAAACATAAAGTAAGGAATCAATTCGATAAAAATTCGGGGGATATTCTTATAGAAAATTGGTTGGACATCTATGTTAATTTTTTTAACGCGCATTTTTTAAGATTAATTTGAAATGTACATGTGTCCCAAAACTGAGATACGGTCTCAATATCGACATTTTTAAATAGGAACGAAAAATGACTGTTAAAAAATACTATTACTATTTTACTTCAGGTAAAAAATAACATAAAGTAAAATACTTTTTTCTGTCTGTACTTTTATTAAAATGGATTCACTGTTTTAAATTCTACCGGTTTCGGTTTATTTACAAACCATCTTCAGGAACCTTCGAATCTCCTATTATAAAAGAACAACTCATTATACATAATAATGTTAAAATCTAATACAATTTCCTATTTTCCCACATAAATCCTACCCATTCCTTATAAACCCCTAAAATCTTATCCAAATACTCCATTCTTCGATCTCTTTTTCAAAAATATTTCAAAATTCCTGAATTTATAATCTGGGATTTTCTCTGTATGTTATACAGAGTGTCTCGGCGAGACCGGTCATTAGACGTTTCTGGGGTTCTGGCGAAAATAAAAATTTGAGAATTCAGACTTAAGTATTATTAATTACGATCTCTTCGACTAAAATATTTTCAGATTTCTTACACTTCCGGTTATACCGGAAGTCGCCAACTACTTTATTTTCTTAAATGGAACCCCCCATATTTTATTACTTTAGTCGTCTTCGGTGTCTCATTCTACATCTTTTATATCCTATATGTTCCATACCTAACATTAATAGTTTGGGAGATAATTAGGGTTTTTTGAAAAATGCACACATCATTTGGATATTCAGCCTAGTGTGCCATGAAAAACAAGCCTTCTCAATGAGTTCTTGTCAAAGACTCACTTGTTTACGTCACTTGATGCATGTGAGCTAATAATTATCTGTTAGGTCCCTTAATATTGGTACTGAAAAGAGTTAAAATCGATAACAATAACGAAAGTAATATTTACACAAATCAAGCAATTGTTAATTTATTTTTTATGCATGAAAAGCGCGACAAAGTTCGTAGTATGATTCCTAGATCTTCTTTGGCAGCTCGAATTGAGTTGTTGGGACTGGGCTCGAAATAAGCCAAGGTATTCATCTCTTCCGGTGCATTATCTACTACATTTGTTGGTCAGTTTAACGTGATTAATTCGTCCAAAATGCAAAAAATTTGCTTCTATTCTTCTAAATTTACCTTTTGTCGTCGGAGGTAAATGTGGATAATTTTCATTAAACATTCTGCAAGTTCTACTAAGAACTTTGTCGCACTTTTCGTACACAAAAAATAAATTATGGATTTCTTCATTTGTATAAACATTATTTACGTTATTAATATCCATTTTAACTAGTTTTAGACTCACAAGCATCAAACAACGTAAATCAGACTTTGACGTTTGCCAATAAGTCATTAAACATTTGTTTTCCATGGCATACTAGGTTAATAGCTAGGATATCTAGGAATTTAACATATAATTTAAATGACATTTATTAGCATTTCAATGCATACACTTTTATATTAGATTTTAACATAATTAAGTATAATGAGTTGTTCTTTTATAATAGGAGATTCGAAGGTTCCTGAAGATGATTTGTAAATAAACCGAAACCGGTAGAATTTAAAACAGTAAATCCATTTTAATAAAAGTACAGACAGAAAAAGTATTTTACTTTATTTAAAATAAAATGGAAAGAAATAATGTTTACAACAATAAAAAATAACATGGTTTTATCTTAACATTGTCTACTCAATTAAAAACTGAAATCCTTCTTGTGCTTGAGAGAATCCCAAATCATTGACAAATTCATGCTGCACCCTAATAATTATTCCTTACTAAGTTGTCAAGCGACTCAAGTTTAAATTTGTAGATCCGGGAGTCTTGATGGTTGTTCAATTGATATCTATTCATCTCTATTCATCGAGATATTGCCTAACCTGTACTGTATAATGTGGATGTGCACCATCTTGCAGGAATCATAAATTTTCATCATGTAACATCGGGTCATTAGCACTGCTTAATGAATTTCTTAAATTAAGTCTAATCCTCAATTTGTTGTCATTTTGGGACACTGTACATTTCAATATTATCTCAAAAAATGCCAGTTAAAAAAAATAACATAGATGTCCAAGCCTTTTTCCGGAAGAATATGCGCCGAATTTATATCGAATTTATACCTTACTTTATGTATGTACAGGTGTCCAAATTTCGCAGAGTTTGCAGGGTATCTTAGTTATTATGAAAGATTGAAAGTTGCGGCTTTCGCGAACCTGAGCTATTTTTTTGTGAAACTTACAATGGCGCAAACCAGATTTTCATAGCCCTCTTCGTTTTTGATATACAGGGAGTGTTTCAAAATTTACGATTTTCAGACACCTCCTGTATCTCGGCTATCCGGAAACATAAAAACGGGTTCTACGGGTTCACGTAGAATCCAGTAGTGCACGTAGAATTTTTCTAGTCATCACGGTTTTTGAATTATTGAATTATAAAGAGTTAAGTATTTTAGAAGTTGAGTATTCAGTATTTGAGTTATGTTTATAACTCAAAAACCGTGATGTCTAGAAAAATTCTACGTGCACCATTGGATTCCACGTGAAAAAATCTATTTGAACCCGTTTTTACTTTTTTGCTAAGTTTCCGGATAGCCGAGATACAGGAGGTGTCTGAAAATCGTAAATTTCAAACACTCCCTGTATATCAAAAACGAATCTTTCACAAAAAAGTAGCTCAGGTTTGCGAAAGCCGCAACTTTCTATCTTTCATAATATCTGAGTACCCTGTAAACCCATCAAAATTTGGACACCCTGTACACAATGTATATTATTTGTTTTGTCTACAAAAAGTATTTTAAAAACACAAAAAGTATTGTGTTCAGCGTCGAAAATATTTTTAGGGTTATTTATGGCAACAAGAAGAATTACTATAAATAGTTAAATGTTATAAGTTCATTAATTAGCAATAAACCTAGATCATTCTTTCAAGACATGCAGTATGTGTTTCTAATTTTCGAAGTGAAGACGAATATACCCAGATTGCGACGCGCTGTTTAAATAAATAAATTCAAAAGATTGTTTTAATGATTCACTGCTGAAATCGTATGCAGTCGAATCCGTTTATTACGTACCCGGGTTATAACGCTCAATCGGATATAACGTATGTGTTTTTTGGTGCGTTCAAAGTTCACTTGCTTATACTATATCGCCTACCTAATATAACAAGGGTGTGCAGTCAAGATGGAAAGTGAAAATGGTGAACTGATTTTGTTTTGCATTTATGCGAAATATTAGTTAACGATATTGGAAATAATGAGATAGTAAATAAGTAATAATAATAGTGCAAAAAACGGAGGATTTAAGTTATTGAAAGTGATTCCGAAGGCGAAAAAGTTGCTCCTATAGACAACAACTAATAGATTGACATCATAGAAAGTGATCTTTCCTTTCAGGGTATATATAAACTTTTCAACAAAAAAAAATAAATGTTTGTAAAAGCCATCTTAATCAGTATTAGTCTACTATTTTAATTCTAATGACAAAGAATAATGTCACTTTCGAAGTATTCTTCATAAATAAGTATTGTTTATTGGTTTCTATGGAAACACTTAGCGCACAAGTTACAGCTTCCTAATGAGATATTCGTTCTTTTTTTATTAATGCACTCCAATAATATACAACCAATCAGAGTAACGATCGTTTAAAATTTCGACCAATAACGTGAATTTCTAAGTGGATAAAAGTTACCTAGGTTTTTCAACTGAATAAATCACACGTGATATTTTATAACTGATTAAAACGCGACTACCATATATATACTTTTGTTTACGTCACATTTTTGACAACTATAATTAAGTCAAAAATAGTTAATAAATAATTAAAAATTGTTGATAAATTGTGCAATTGTCGTGTATTAATCTCCCTAAAATACGCTCGAGCTTGATTTTAAATCAGGATAATTTTATTTTTAATTCACTCAAGTTTTGTTACCCTTTGGAAATAACTCTCAATCAAAATCAAAAGATAAAATCGCTCCAGCTAAAGCTGTCGCGATTTTATCATGCTTTTGATTTCGAGTTATTTCCATGGTAACAAAACTTTCGTGTAAAAATAAAATTATCCGATTAAAAGTCAAGCTCTTGTGTATTTACCCCCGAATAATTCAATGTTTTTTTAAAGGAAATACATTGTGTGACATATCATTGAAATCAGAATTAATTATCCTATTTTTTTTGTGTGAAAATCAAATATGGCGTTCATAAGAAAAAATAAAC